GGAAAATGGCTTTTTCCCTCCTATCATGCCCATTTTATAAGGATAAAGTCAGGCATGGAGATAACGGGCAAAAATGGCAAAAGTTTCCATGGATTTTGGGTTCCTAATCTAAGAAATGAGAGTATTGATTTTCCTTAACTACTTAGTATTTCTACAGTGCTTTATATGTCCAAAGCGCACTATCAATGAATTTAAACTGCAGCTGGGAGAGCAGTCTGCCAATCTGGCCCACTTTAAAAAATCCAAAAATGAGTACTTAGTGGCCAATGGAAAATTTTGGTCAAAGCAATTTGGCCACCTTTAATAGGAACTTATTGGTAAAGGCAGGGATAGAATCCCATTCTCATGGTTGCCAGTTTTCCTAACCATGAGACCGTTCCCTCTCTTATGAGAGTCTCCTGCCTATTTCACATACAAACCTTTTAATCTCTATGAAGCAGAAAGTACTCTATACTAGTCTTTCCTATACCATGCTGAATCATCTGAAGACTGTCCTAAAACTAAGGGATTAATGGAGACAGTATGTGACTCATTAAAGATTGCACCATACAAACAGACATGTGCACATCCTATGGAACAAAATTAATCACCCAGCTTGTCCTGTCCACCGATTTTGTCTCTTTAGAGCCCCAGCACAGAATTGCAAGGAAGACACTTGTAGGCACTGAGATACTCAATTTGAAAGTGACTTTCACAAGCCATTTCTGGGCAGCTGAATCCACAGTCAGACCCAGAGCTGCAGTGCTGAACTGTAGATTTTGGAAGGAAATGTTCTGTATATAGCCTTGCCCCATTTGTTCATATTTCTCTTTAAAAAAAAGAAAAATTATATATTTTTTATTTCTTCTTACATGACTAATGCATTACAGCACTTGCCTCCACAATCTGTGCTAATATTCATATTTTCCTCCAGCTCTTCACACTTCTCTACTTCTCTCCATTGTCATAATTTTCCCCCCAAACTTCATCTTTTGCCCTGCTGCACTCTGCACTTCTTTATCAGACCTGAGTTTTGACTTCGACTTCTCCACTTGCTTGCATTTCTGCACTTATACAACCTTGGAGAAATGCTGGACAACAAATTTTGTTTGGTTAAGAATTTTTTTAAAAGATCAAAAGCAATCCAGCCTGGGACACTGCCTATTTCAGCCCTAAAGACTTAAAGTTTGTGAAGGTTAGGGTGAAAAGAAAACAGGGTCTCTGGGGAAAAATATCTATGCTTTCAATTCGCACATTAGCCAGTTTGTTTTCACACTAAGTTACACCTTGCATTGGGTTTTTCTTTTTCCAGCTGCAGCATGCAGCTGGCCTTCTGTACAGCATTTTCCACCTGACAGAAGTGTAAATGACTACATAGGCGTAGGCAGCGGCACAGGATACCAATGATAGCCAATGTGGGTTGAATTAACACTACTGGTATTTTTTTTTTAAAACCCATTAAAAGTCTCCCTCATAAAAGTAAGATAGAATGCTGCTGGATGCCATTTTGACATGAAAATTAACTCT